GGTACGAACTTTTGGTCAAAAATCATGATTTTGCGGAAGATTCGCTGAACGATAGGAACTATGTAGAGAGCTGAGATTTTTACTAGACTAAGTACTCAATGAGATGTCTCCGTCGCCAAAATATCAACTCTCTAACATTATCCCTTTATGAGATACGTATATGCACAAAACATCGAAAAATGACCATTTTGTGTGTACCTCGTAGTATTGGTCAACTTATTAGTAGTTCATCCATTTGAGTTCATTCTTTTTGCTGTAATGCACAAACATGACATCAAGTCACAGTAAAATTTTCAAGTCAAATGCATGTATGCTTGATGAGATATAGATGTCACGGAAAAACACAAAAAAACGCTTTTTTTTTTTTGACAATAGCGCCCTCAAAAGAAATTAAATATCTCGAGAACTGAACAGTATTTTTTCAAACGTCTTGTGTCAAAGTTCTTAAAACTGTTTGATCTACAACATACCCTAAATTGAACAAAAATTGCTGACCTTGATTGAAGAATGGCTTCTATGAGAGTCGGTCGTGGTTTACACGGACTGACTGATGCAATAGAAAAATAAAAATTGATGCTTATATTCCGTTGATTTCGAGTTGGACTGAAATTCCGAATATAGGGTCTGATAGAGCAAAGTCTGCTCTACAAATCTCACTATACCACTAACCCGAGGAATCTAGCCATTTTTAGTTTCTAAGGACTAAGTATGAGCACTATCATTTTTGTCATAGACTATAATATTACTTGAAAACAAATTTTATTAGAGAAACGAAAAGTAACAATTCATATGTGGGAGGATGCAGCAGAGTTTGGGGAACAAGAATATATAATTGGAATTAATTTCTGTCCATGCAATGTTGAAAAAGTCAAGACCACAAAATTTGATAATTTTTACAATTTTTCGATTTTCCAGCTAAACTTGTGACTCATATATCTCTCTAAAGGAACATTCATCTAAGCTGATGTTTTTGCCATAGCCATAACTCATTGAGTTCTACAAGATAAGTGCACATTGGATCAATTTAAAGATAGTTGTGTTTTTTCTGGGAGAAATCCCATGGAATAGGCCATATACGTGGGTCGTTCAAAAAGTATCCGGACTGGTTTTATTATAAAACAATAAGAAGCGCTGGTGTATTAGTATTCTTAAGTATGTGTAGTTCATACAGTCCTCTATATATAGACATCATAAGGTCTGCTGAATGAAACATATATATGAGAATATAGAAACATATTTTAGACCACTCTCTAGACACTGACAGAAAATTATAAAAATTGAACATCGTCCAATAATAAAATTTCCTGTTCTATGAAACCATTCGTCATCTAATATGTACCAACAGTCGGTAGCAGTGTATGTTGATCAATTGTTCATTGGGCACTACAGCTTTTGAATGAGATCGTGTTTTTGAAGATGAATTATCATAAATCGATAACAATCCGGATGTGAATAACATAAATATCAAAATTTTTCGAAGCCTGACGATCGAAGGCGGTTGAATCGCGATTGGGTAGATAGCAGACACACTTCGCATTTCAAATGTACGGTGAAAATATTTCGCGTGATCAATTACATATGACTAAAGTCAGTCCACAAGAAGGCCATACTCTCTAAAACGATATCAATGATGTGTCGACCATTTCGGGAGTAATAATTAATAGTTAGTTATTCGCGTTTACAACGACGAGTTCATTCAAATATCTTAGTATATGATAGAGTATCATTACTGTAAACTGCCACCATATATTCATAAATTTTGAATCATAGCTGGTCTTTCAAAACTTATAACTTTGCTCAAGTTTTAAATTTTTGTCAGTGTCTAGAGAGTGGTCTAAAATATGTTTCTATATTTTCATATATATGTTTCAATCAGCAGAGCTTATGATGTCTATAGATAGAGGAGTGTATGAACTACACATACTTAAGAATACTAATACACCAGCGCTTCTTATTGTTTTATAATAAAACCAGTCCGGATACTTTTTGAACGCCCTACGTATATTTACTTTATAATAATCAACTTTACACTTAATTATTTTAAACAAATTCTATAATTTATAAATATTTTCTTTTTCTTTATATACTAATCTTAACTTGAATTTGGCAAAAAGAAAATAAAATAGATCATTTATTGAATTCAACTGAATCGTACTTTGTATATACGTCAAAAGGGAGTTAAGTAAAAACATCAATGATAGATCAAGTGCATTTTTATTGAGACAAATTTTTTGTAACTATTTATGTCATATCTAGTAATATGATATGGATGATTACAGCGTAAAACATATTACAAATACTTGCATTTTTCCAGTTTTACCTGTTTGATTGTATTTAGTACTTTAAACTATTACTGATTTTTTTTATCACAACACGACATTTAATCAAGCGTATAATTGTTTTCAAAATAGATTTTAATTAATTACACATTTGTTTGCTAAGTGGATTTTCTTCTAATGAATGGAGTTATTAATTTTTGTTCGTAATTTCAATAAAGATATGTAGACTGCTTAAATAAGAATCTCATTTAAAAAACTATCATATCCTGTAAAATAAGATTAGCTCAAATTCTTCATTGGGAAAACAAATTTAGTTTTTTTTGCAAATCATGCTATAAATATTTATGAGAGATGTTACTACTGTTGCTTTATTTATTACACGTTTTGGCATAATGTGAAACATTAAATAAATAGAATATTTTGTAATTGAATCATAATTTTGATATTTTTTACAACAATTAGGATTAGTACATAATCTGATATTGTAAAATGTGGAGAGAAATATGAATCAATGTTGAATGTACTTGATGGCCCGACATCTAGATTTCATGAAAACATTAGAAAAAAAATTACAATAGAAATGTATTAAGTCAATATATATGAACAAGAGTGTCCCAGTTCAGACCTAGACCCGATGGGAGTTCGACCAAAAATGACTAGTTCTACTTATGAATAATTAAATCAGAAAGTATATTCACCGATGCATTATTATAGATATATATGTTTCATTTTTAGAAAAGATAAGTTTCACCTAAAGAATGACGTTTTAACAGGAGTATCGCAGATTTTTCTTGAGAACAGTGCAAACGCGAGATGACACTATAACCAATTTCCTCGTTCTAGTTTTTATCTGAAGAATATAATACTATAAATTATCTAGACCAATCTTTTATTTCATATAGTGTTCTTAATGAAACAGCGTACCCAGCAAAGCAAAGTGTACCGTACCGTAATGAAATAGAATTTACACACTGTTTTACACGCTGAAGAAAAAAAATAGCGTGTACAGTGTACACACGGAATTTACAAGAATCTTATTCGTTTATGTTAGGCAATCAAAAAAGTTTATTCTTCAACGGTGCTTGTGTTGCAAATTTACAAGCAGAAATACTAAATAAAAGCAACGTCTTGCTCGTTGATGTTAAACTTTTTTGTTCTCAAACTGACGTTAAGAATTTTCAAACTCAGTTGGATTTGACATATTCTGAAAGAGAAAAGTGTGCTCTATAAAACTATCACATTTTTCCAATTTTTAAGTTTTGTTTTTGTTATGAATAAAAAAAAGAATTATCCATGGCTTAAAAAAATAAAATTCGTCTGAAGTGCCATTATGAGATGATCTTGTCGAAACTCTAAGACAACTGTTTTATTCAGTTTCTTGAGCTGTTTCTAGTTATGTATTTGTAAAGGAGCTTGAACGGTTTATGAATTATAAAAAATTAAAGTTTGTCAAATTTTACGACCTCTATCAATAATATTCAAAGTACATAGTCAAAAATAACAAGATCAAACGAAAATGTTTTACCAAAATGTAGAGCGTAAAATTCTGCGTCGATTTATACAATCTTCAATTCCCTAAACGAAAATATCTCGACCAGAAAAAGTAACACAAGAAAAAAAGTTTAAAACTTTTGCCTGCTGGAGCAAAATATAAATCATATTAAAAAAACCAGGTCTTGACCAGCAATGCTCTTTTTATACGGGCCTTGTAGCCCGTGTTGTGATGTATACAAATCACGCTTCAAATCATTTTCAAAGCTTCTTACAAAGTCAAAAAGAAATATAGACAAAAAGGTTTAAACTATTGTCGCCTGCTTTATTATATTAATTTGTTTTCGAATTGAAAATTAATATGTCAACTATGTCTGTGAACGTACTATTGCGATTTATTTCTTTTTGTTTTTGTTTGTTTAACTATTTATCTGTCAGTATGGATGCATCATAGACGTTGATGAAAGTGTCAGTTAATATATTTTATGTGATCAGAGTTCTTATTTTATTTCTTGTGATTTGAAACATTTTATTTTTGTTTATTATGTATCTATGTATACTCATTAAAATGAAGAATGAAATAAGTTTCCTTTTAACAGATGTTGTTTTATGTGGTTCGATACCAGATTTACGTTTCTTGTACACTTTGGTTTAAGAAACAGCATGTACGAATACGTCGTGTTCTGAAAATCACAATGTACCTGTACATTCTATTTCAGATTCCTGTTAAAAACACTGATTTCATATACTGTCAAAAAACAAGCTTTTTAATATGAGTTTCATCTTCAGTAAATTAATGAACTTTCAGTATTCAGTTCGACATTGATTTAATCATTGATATATATGCGATCATAGATACACTGACTGCTAGATGTTTTTCTTGTGAAGCGAAGACATCTGCATACATGAATATATCCAATGGTAAAAAAGAGTTTCAGCCTCTTCTCTTGTCGCTACAGTCAATATCATACAATCGATCTTTCTGTAAATCCATTTCTACATGACTCATCATTCAGTTTTTCGTCGTCGTTATTATATGTAACTGATATCAATTATTTTGTCGATATATTCTCATAGATAGATCTAATCATAAAAAATGAATCTCAAATATTTACATTGTATTACATTTATTTTTATTTTTTCGAATGTTTATTTTACAAAAGGTACATTTTTTAATACCAATATTTTTTTTTGTTTTATGCAAATCTTTGACTGATCTTTTCTAGGAGAAAATGTAACAGCTACAAGTGGTATATCCACATTAACAGCTATAACAACAACGACAAGTAATATATACGTAGATCAATTTTAGAATTGAAATATGACTTTTCTATTCAGATGCATCAACTTTAGTATCATGTCCGGATGGTTATCAACAAACATCATCGGGTTTAGAATGTCAACCAAGTTCTGAACGTCAAGATAATAAAACTGTAATCATAAAAAGTAAATAAATTTTTGAATAAAAAAAAAAGAAAATATATAATAATTTATAATTTAGATCAAGAAAAATCATCAGGAGGTACAGCTCGTCGTTTGTTTTTTCTTTTTCTTGGTTGTCTATTAACAATATTCGTAATATTTGCTCTAATTATGACTTATAATCATATAACTGAACAAAATCATCGTCATTCATCAACAAATTCAACAATAAATCCAACTGTTGGTAATAGATTTCATAATATATTACAATCAATCAGTTTAAATAATCTTCGTAAACATGGAAGATTTAATTTTTTTTCTATTTCAAATAATAATTATTCATCTGGACATAATCGACAAGGAGAAACATCACGTACACATTTAAATGAAAATCAAGATGAAGCTTTATTATTTGATGATCCATATGCTGATGGAGGAATTTCAAGTGGAATTCATGGATCATCTGCTAATCCATATAAATCATTAACACTTTCAGTTACTTAAAATAATTCTTATTAATCGATGTCTTTAAAGACATGACAAAAAAAACAAATATATTAAATGTAATCTCATTTTGTTTTCTGACAAATATATTTTATTCTGATCAATAGCTGTTGTTGTTGTTTGGTTTAATTTGTTTGTGTATGTATATATGTATTAAATACAGCTTATTATTTGAATTTGAAAATATAAAAACTTAAAGAAAATTAATCCTGAATAAAAATTTTTGTTTCTATAAGATCATGAGGTTTGTCTTGTAAAAATTATTTAATTCTATTGAATGGCTCATAAATAATGAGCATCTCATTATTTTAAGAATAACTTGTGTTTTCTTCAATTCTTTGATTGATTTGTTCTCTTACAAAAACTTCATAAGACTATTGCTATCGAAGAGGAAGGAGATCAAAGAAGCGAAGAATACTCGACATCTATAAACGGACTAATTTTCTAAGATATTTTCATGTAGAAAGCTTTAGAATATTTTGAAGAGTTCTAAAGACAATGAAACAAAAATTAAAATCTTTTCGAGTACTTTAAATTGTGTTTTTTCTCGGCATGTAGTTTAAACATTGTTGACATCAAGATGAACATAGAGAAAGTGAATGTTTTGCAAAATTCTCTTGGAAATGGTCAAAATCTGCTTTCCTTTTATTTGTTAGCCAACACAATTTAAGAAGAAATCTATGAAACAAACTTTTATCGATGTAACTAATGCAGGAGTCATATGTCACTAATATAAAGCAAACTCAAGCTTAAAAGATACTATTTTGACTTCGTTATCCAATACTTTCTAGGGACTTCAGAACTGTCGATTGAAATAGCTGGAACTTTTCGAATACTTTAAAAATGGATAAATCAATATACGTCTCTAAGATTGATATCCTATTTATTCACTTAATAATGATTGAAATGGCGCTTCAAGGATAATAATACGCGTATATTTTTTCTTGTTTTTATTACTTCACTCAATGAATGTATCGAGGTAAAACGATTTTTCCATCTTAGAAAGTTTGGCTGTTTCTAAATATTGAGTCTTCTTCGTCCAACTATCTCCTTACTTTTATATAGAAATATGTCTGATGAAGTTTTTGTCAAGATCTTGACTGCATCTTCTGGAAAAATAACAATCAGATCTGAGAGTTTAAAAGAAAAAGAAAATTACAGTAAAAATTAGAAAAAGTTCATTATTTATGGGCTATTCAAAATTTTTCTTTGCATTTTGAACATAAAAAGTTTTTTTAAGCAAGAAAAAATTGAACAAAAACAATGAAATAAATAAATCATAACTGCTACTATTGCATATATATGATGATTATTAGAATTTTCTTTATTGTATTTTACTATTCAAAATTTCTCAATTTCAAATAAATTTGCAGAAATATGGTTGGCTCTTCATGATGTGCGTTCTCAATAACAACTTTACATATTGTATTAAACGGCAATAGAGTCAATTTTTTCGTTATATTTCCAAGGGGTAAAACAGCAGACTCCAGTCGCTTGGAGTCACGCGGAGTCAAGTGAAGTCATGTGGAGTCACATGGAATCAGTTGGATTCACGTGGAGTCAGGTGAAGTCACATGGAGTCAAGTGGATTCACGTGGACTCTTGCAAATTCTTGCCTATCTTCAAAATTCATTATAGAAAGATACTGCTATGCTTTGATTATGTTAATCATATCTACCATCAGATGAAATAGATATTAGTCTCGATTTAGAGAGCAAGATACAACATCTTTCTCTTTTTCGTACTCAGCCAACAGGAAAACGGCAGACTCCCACTCGTATGAAGCCTCTTGGAGTCCTGAAGTTTTCAAGTTTGCCATTTCTTCCTTAAACTGATCTGTTTGAAAAGTTCTTTTGACATAAATTGTCCAAAACAATTCCCAAAACAGAGCAATATTGCCCAGTACACGGAAGTTGTATTCCCAAAATAGAACAATATTATGCAGTATCCGAGAGCTGTATCCCCAAAATAGTGCGATTTTGTTCTGTTTTGAGAATGCAACTTTCGGGTACTGAATAATATCGTCAATAGGGAAATGATGGACTCCGTTTGCATGAAGTCACGCAGAGTCGAGTGGAGTCATGGAATCTGCTGTTTTCCCTTGTGTATTTCACTGTATAAATAAAAGTATACATCAGTCCATGCAATTTATTGACAAGCAGCAGAAAAATTGTAAATAATATTTAAATTTACAAGTACTTGGTATACTTGAATACAATTTTGAATTCAATGAGGTTCATATAAGAAGAGTATATATAAGTCCTTTTTAGACCTCAATCAGACAAAAGAAATGAGACTAATGGGTAGAAACTTATTTTAAATTGTATAAGAATTATAATGCAAATATCTGAATGTCACCAGAAGTATTCTCGTCTTTGCTCAATAAGTTTAATCGATTTCCTTAGAATTTCATGAATTCCGCAATTGTTTTGAATTATTATTTGTTTATCAATAATCTAATTTCTTTTTCATACATCTAACTTTACTTATAAAACAGTGGTAAATATAAAAACAAATAGTATATGTTGATGTCTGTCTTTTTTTGCATGTGTTAATAGCTGTTTTTTATCTACGAGAATGTTTCTGTTTCTTTTAAATGAAACAGAAGCATGAACGATGATTTTATCTTACTAGATTGGAATTGGAGAATGTCATTAGAGACATTTATGACTTTGAAATTTTCTCAGACAAAATATGACATGAAGAAAAAGGCTATTAAATAAAATTCTATTTTTTGAGAACAATTCAATGACAATTATAATAATTAAAAGGCGTTCGTTGTTTATAATTATGTTATTATTGTTGAAAACGCTTTATAAAAGGGAACTAATTAATTTTGATGCAATTCAAATGATTTCTAAAGTATCTACATATGCTATATTCCGTTCGATACAAATCATTTAATATTTTATCATTAGCAAATAAATATTTATCATAGATTTTGTTTATAAGGAAAATATTTTGAAAATCTATGCTGATAAAACATTAATAACAAAGTGAACGAGATTTACCTTCAATACTGAAACTCTCGTCTCAATAGAAGTCCTCCGAGCTTCTAAAATGTCAAAGTATTATAAATTTTTAGCGGAGCTTCTATGACTTGGAAAGCTACTCATACGGCTTGAGTATGAATGTGGCGGTTAACGAATAGAAGATTCACACCCGCACAATATAATAATATTATGAGTAGACGAAATATGAATTTATTACTCTGTAATGATGTTCAGATTCCTGTTCTCAGACAATGTGGTGGTTACAGAGTATATTGTGATCATGATCTGAGATGTTGACGAAAAATGAAAATGATTTCTAGACATTCTTCTTAATCGTAAGTATTTGACGACGGGAGAAACATTTTTTGTACGTAGACAGCGCCTGATCAGGCCTTATTTAATGAAATCTGCGAAATTTTGATTTAAAAATTGGCATTGTCTGGACATAAGAGAAGTCCTGGGGCTTCTATTCCGGAAAATGGTTTATTCTGCGTCATCATTTGACGTATGAATAGGAATTATCAAGGGAGAAAAAGCAGATCCTGGTGCATCCTGATGGATCCCAGGATCCACGAGGATCCATGGGGTCCATCAGGATCCATCAGTACTGCTTTCGATCTATCAACGTAGATTGATCTTTTGAATATCCACAAAAGCAAGGAAATCAATGAGATTCATAAAATAAGAATGTTTAATTCAAAACATGTTCTGGATGAATCAATGCGATCATCATGCATCTTTTATACAACCTTGACTAGTCTCACTTACAAAGGAAAAAGGGACCCTGATTCATCTCACTATCCATTGGAGTCCATGTGATTTCATTAGAATGCATGGAAACAAATTAAAAAGACGAAGAATCAGCCGCAGCATTTTTAAAACTCTAAAAAGCGAGAAAAATGAAATCTTGGAGACTGAAATTCTGGTGGCTGGTGATGAAGTTTTGATTATCTGAATGAATTCTATAGTTTATACGAACGAATATAATGTATCAAGATCCAGGTTTTCCCCATTGGTTTCAGATTATTATGAAGCTTGTTAGCTTCTACTGAATTCTTGTGGATTTCAATAGATTGTAATAGATAGTGTTGCATTTTCGATAAAGCAAATCTCTTCTATTTTTGAGCTAGATCTCCGGCAAATGCCACAAGGATGTTGCACAAATTTCCTTTTTTTGTGGGGGAACGAGAAAATGAGAAAACGGTACTTAATTACAAAATTTTAAGGAACTAATCGATTTTGTATCGTGATGCAATAAAGATCATAAGCAGTTTATTATCATTTTCTAATCTTTCAAGAAGCTATGACATTTTGAGAAAGGGGTGTAGCAACAGAATTTGAATATTTCGACAAGATTCACAAAAGTATTCTGTGAGGATCCTGAGTAGTTTGCCAATACGATTTAAACACGGAATAAGTGAAGACAACGACCATTTCTTAGAAAAATTGGTACGCACGAAATAAACACGATTTTGTTAAGTTAGAGCAAGATCTGAGAGGCATTCTCAGCCCGTTCTCGTTGATTGTGTGTCAAGATCTTTACAGAATTTCAATGGTTTCTAATTGAAAAATATATTCGGATTGCTCCTTGCAGAATTCTACTATGATTCTTTAAGGATGTTGTCAGATTTTCTGTCAGAATCTCTGCAGAATGCTCCGAAAAGAAAAAAGGAAAAATGAAGATAGAGAGTATTGATCTCTACATCTTCAGTTTACAAACCGATCAGTTTACCGCTGTAGACTATAATATGTTATTGAATTTCACTGAAACCTTCGATATCTTAAATTCTCTCTGAAATATTAACCTTTGTTTGAACTATGCAACTATAATTTATTGCAAGTGAAATTCGAAATCTTCAGTATTAAGTTTAATATATTTATTACTGATCATGAAATTGTATTATTTTTTGTTGATTTCAGTTTGAATAAAGAAGTATTTTTCTGATTTCTTTAAACGAATAAATGAAATACAGTGTAAGTTTTTTTTTTATAAAGGACTCATCTTTT